AAGGATGCCAGTGACATCACGATGAGTACAAAGCCCCTAAAAGGTAGGCATAAACAAACATACCTTTTTACAGGAGCTGTAAATTCCATCCAACAGAAACGGCCTTCGACGTCTCTCAGGGTTGAAAGGTGAACCAAAACGAATGTAGTGTTTAGGTGTGGTACAAATTAGTGGGGAGTGGATGAGACCTGGCAACATGTTTAGGGTTGTTGCCAAAACTGTTGGGTCCGTAGTAATGCGCAGAGGGCATTCAATGGGACACTCCTGCTTTTCTGCCTTGTCATTCAGCCATTCAGTAACAAGATACTGAAGAAGAAAAAAAAACACCAATGTAACTAGCAATTGTGAAGAAAGGCAACATGGCACAATGGCATATGGGGAAACAATGCCGAGGTCAGCCTGCACGCTAAGACCTCTTTGCTCCTCAACAAGAGGGAACGCAGCCAGGACTTTTTGCATCAACCCCAATTCTCATTTATTTGCATGTACAGCATCTAGTTTATACAAGTAGCTCGGTTTTGTGCTTCCATTAATCTTATTAGAAGGTTCTCCCTGAACTTGATCACCTTGTTCTAAACCAGTTTCTAATTGCAAGCCTAAATGTATGAATGGTTAGCTTATTTATGCCCAGGATGTGCTGTGCCATTAAAAAAACAAACAAACAAACAAAACAAAAAACCCACCCACACCCTCATCCCCAAAAGAGGCTTCCACGATTCCCACATCCAACACATTTTTATGGCACACAATGTATTTTTAAATTCCATCTAATCCTTCTTACATAATGGCTCCACTTTTCTCTCCTTGATCTCTTGTTAATGAACCCAAGAGAACCTTTGTTTTACTGTCCTTTACAAGATGCCACACCCTAGTTATTTCTAGTTTTGTTGTTGTTGTTTTAAGCAATTTTCACTGCACCTTTTCACTTCTCCATCTAAGACAGCTTTCTTGGTTGACAGTCTTTTCTCCTTGCTCTTAAGATATGGGAAATAAGTAGAAAATTTGCTGAGATAGTATTCCTCCTCTCTTGTGTAAAGCCTTTTCCTATAATTTTTTTCTCCTAAAATTGTCCAATATCTCATAGATGAGTGGGTACTATCTCAAGCTCAGGATGCCTACAAGACCCCTCCCAACTTTTTCTTCAGCTGCACCTAGCTTTCTTCCTTACTGTGAACATCACCCGAATTCTGGCATCGCCACTCAGGCCAATAATCTGAAAGTCGCCTTCACTTCAGACCTCTCTCCAAGGCCCTTCAACCTGTTTTAAGACATTAGCCTTTCTTTTGGACCCCAAAGCCAGACCATCAGCAGTCTTGCCCAGGCTATCAGCATCTAGTCTTTAAATGATTGCTACTCCACCTGATGCAGCTGTAACAACCACTTGCATGCTGCTGCCAAGAGCTCTTCCTAGCTCATGGTGCACAGGCACATCAGCTCTTCCAGTCTTTCTAATGTCTACCTTGTTCTCCAGCAGGAACAACAGAAAGAACAACAGAAACACTTGTTCTCCTCACCAAGGCCTTTCTTAGCCACCTCCCAAGCCGCCCACTGCTCTTGACATCCACTGCCGAGACAGTTGTTTCTGCCTCCCTTACACAGTGTTCAGTCTCCATCATCCAGTTCCTGATATTTCCAAGTCCCTCCAGCCCTTCTCCCGCAGGGCCCCTCATGCTTGAAGTAGCTTTCTCCCCACTACAAAGATGCATCATTTGCCTCTTTCCAGCCCACCCTTGCTGGGCCCAACAGTGACACTTTGTCTATTGCACCTGTACCATCCTGCTCATATCTATGTTTAATCCTATGTAGATTTGTGGTATAGACCACCTAAATTTTGTTTTCAATCTTTGTACAGTGCTGGACAGCTTGATTTTGACTCATGATGAGGGCTCTTAGCCACAATGAGGCAAGTGATACAATAAAGGTAAAGTCATATCATTGCAAGCATAATGAAGATCTTTTTCCCTGAGCCAGTTTTTCCCCGCCAAAGGCCACATAAAACCTCTTTTTCCTCTCCCCAGCTTAAGCACTTGATAGTTACCTTTTTAGTTTTGGGGTACTTTACTGTGGCCCGATTAGACTGAGATCCTGCAGCCAGGATAACAGTTGGGTCAGATCCAGCTAACTGTTTGCCTTCTCCAGGACCTTCTACATTGCTGACATCTGTTGCAGTTACCAAGCTGGCAGTGCTTCCTTCCTCTGGGACAGCCTGTGCGAGTTCAGCTTGCTGGGAATTGGCTTGCTTCTGCCGTCTCAGTCTTTGTGCTGAACTGGTCCGATACCGAGAAAAGCGACTTTTCGGTCGAGGCCTAGAGGGTTTTGCTGGAGCAGGCTTAGTAACTGTTTTTTCTGGGACAGCATCCTACAACATAAACTGTCATAAGTCCGAGCACCTCTAAGAGTCTTCCCTTTGCCTATATACAACAACAAGGCCTGAGATTTATATATTATCTGGCCCGCACAAGCTGGTTGGGCCCTATTTGTATTGGCTTATAATAGGGCGTGGGGACCCTTCTAGAAGACTAGCACATTTTCTTTTTCTCCAGTCTGCTGTAATGTTAAATGGTCAACCAGAACATTCAGAACAATCTTGGTCTCAAGATCCGCCCCCACACCACACACACACAAAGAAAAAGCAAATAATTTCCTCAATCCCGGTAGGCATACAGCCAACTTAAGATCACATCAGTTCGCAAGAGATGATCTCGTCTCTCACACCACTACAGGGGGCCCACTGGCTGAGGGACCTGGGCTCGCTCAACTTGGAGAAGAGAAGACTTGGGGAGACCTAATAGCAGCCTTCCAGCGTTCAAAAGATCATCCAGAGAAAACGCAGCCTGGCTATTCACTCTGGTGCATGGTGGAAGGACAAGAGTCAACGTACCTAAGTAGAAACAGGACACTCAGACTGGATATAAGGGAAAACTTCTTCACCAAAAAGCTCTGAGGTCTGACTACAGAGCTGACCCTGCCTAGAGCAAGATGGACTAGAGACTTCCTGAGGTCCTTCCCAACCTGACCTATGATCAGATAGGCTGCACATGGGTTTGGTGCAAGCTATGGAACAGTCCTTTCTTCATCTTACCACTAATTGGGAAGACCGTCGTGTGTTCACCCCAGTACTGGTGTTACTGTTAGAAACGTTTGGCACAGCAGCACTAAGTGTTGAACTTCCATCTTCAGTTTCAGGAGTCTCCGTTTTTATTTCCTCCGGCTCAGGAGCCTCAGCATTGATGTTGAGTTCAGCATCGGTACTGTTCCGGTCTGACGGTTGCTCTCGTCTCCTCTTTCTCTTTTCCAAGTTTTCAAACATATGCATGATGGCTTCTACCTTCCTATCTTCTCGGGACTAGGAAACATAAGAGTAAGCTTAAGTCAGTACTGCAAATTATGCAAACAGAGAGAAGGATACAAGAACAGATACAGGACACAGCACAGGAGGGAGAAATCTGACACCACAGTTAGGACACAACTTCCAAATAGCAATGACACAAGAGCCAGAAATGGGACAGAAAAGCAGGGCTCCCCCCTCCTCCCCCAATATTTGCATTTTTCAAGATGACAAATTCCCCAGAATGCCAGCAGCATAATAACACATTCATAGAATAACTAGAATAACTAGACTTTGTTCTTAAGTAAGAGTACTTAGATACTACTGAGCTATATTCATGAAATAGCCATAAGGAAATGCATATTTTTGAAGAATTAAAACACATAAGACAAAGAATAGAGTGAAGAGACGATCTGGAAACAAATGGAGCCATTCACTAATGACCAAGCATTAGAGGTAAACATAAGCCAAAGGCAACAGAAGTAAGTGAATCAGTAATTTGCATTAAGTATAACACACCACGCAAACTGACTAAAATGATCCAGATTCATTCCTTTCCTGATGTCAGGAGATCACACAGCTCAAAAATAAAAGCTCTTGTCCAAGCAGCTTACGTAGTGGATAAGAAAAACAGAACAACATGAGAGAGTACGGAGGCAAAAAGAAGGTATTTATTATGTAAACAGAAAGGATAGGAAATCTTATCACCTGGTAGTATCAAGATAATTGGTCATTATGTATACAAAAAGGTCCTGTACAATAACGCAGCAGTGACTGACAAACAGGCTGAATCGAGTGAATTTTAAGAGGTGGGGGCAGGTGCATGCTGAGAAGTGCCATGGAGGAGAAAGTATCTTGAATCATAGAGCAGTACTCAGTCACAGCAGCCTGGCTTTTACATTTTTCTGTTCAAAGGATATTCAATACACACACACAAAAAAAATCAATTTTAGAGACAAGAGGAAAACTATAAATACAGGTATTTACGTGGTGCCAAGTATAGAAAACAATCTCATTAAAGGAGATTAATTGGTGAAACATGCACAGGAACAGGGCTCACAGGTTCAAATAAAACTAACACCTTATTGGGAGAAAAGATTTCTTGAATTATACCGTCCCAGAAAGAGACCAGCTTCCCTGCATTAAAAATAAAATCTTCCCTCCAGTCTTAAGGCCAGTCTGATGGAGACTTTTTATTCAAATTCCAACAGAAGCCAACTGTTTTATCTTGCCCCTTCTGAAAAAAAAAACAGGATACTCCAAGGATAGCTCTGTTAAGATTAGAAAAGGGCTGCTGTACACTCTTTATGGATGGCCATCAACTCCGCAATTTGCTACACTATCTTAACCTTATTTAAACCACGGCTCAGAAAGTTTGCTCATGCAAGACCAGTCTCTTTGATCTGAGGAAGAGGGGTAGTTAAGGTATTTGGCGAACAAAGAGGACAGGGAATTCTGAGCTCTGATACGTTTGTTGCCTGGTAGAGGAAAGGAGCACTTTTTATTCATTGCCCTGCCCCCCCACGCCCCCACCCCCAGCCTTCCTTTTAAACCTCAATGCACTGAGAAGAGCTCAGAACACCTGCATTCACATGCATAAAATATCCTAATCCAGTGAGCAATCCCAGATGCCATAGAAGGCACAAGAGATTACAGCTCTTCTTGGAAAATGCAGAAAAGAATTATTTAATGACAGGATTAAAGAACACCTAAAATGCTGGAGGAATAAAAACCCCAACTAATTCTACTCAGTACAGAAGAAGGCAGAGAAGGGATTGTGTGATCAAAGATCCAAGAGCGCTAAGAAACATTTTTATCCAGAATACTGATTATAATGACAAAGATTTGGAAGCACAAAGGGATTTCCTAATAAAGAATATAGCTCCATGGATACTTTCAGCAGACTTGTGCCAACCTTGCTGTTGGTGGTCTACCCATCTAATCAACTTTTGCCATCCTCATGCCAACATGTTTGCATAATCATTTAGTGAACCAACAGAGGGAACAGATAAAGGTTAACCAACCTAACCCAGTCAGCAAAATAGGTTAGTTTTAACTAAGATCAGTTTCAAGTTTTGATTCATCATATGGCTCCATAAATCCCTGGGCTGGCAAAAAGGAAGGGCACTGAAGAAGCAGAAGAAGGGTGCAACTACTTTTCTCTAAATCTGGTGTTGACTATCTTGTTAATGGTATGTTTTAAGTTGTAGAATAGCCCTGAAAGTAAGCATTAATCCTTTCAGCTGGGCAACAAATCTGTCTTGAATCTTCTAAATTGCAGTACTCTAACAAATATCCTGTGATATCAGAACAGCCTGGTTTTAACAAATTAAGAGAGACCATTAAGAGCTGGAACAAACCAACTTGCGCTGAAATAACCAACTGGACCTGCTGGTCACTGCACAAAGCAAGTCCTAAGGGGAATGATACCCAGACTGAGACAGGTACTTGCCCGTCGGTTGTGAACCAAGGCTCCCTGTTCATCTACAGACTCTTCTTTCTCCCCTTCTTGTTTCTCCTCTTTATCTGCCACCTGAAAGAGGAGCCCAGATTTAGTAAGGCAAACAAAACCTGAAGCTGCTTTTATAGTGCTTTTATAGCAATCTCAGTGCCAAAGTTTTAAAGAAGGCCTGCTTGCAATTTTTGCCTTGGAGACAACACTGCCGCGTAAATCAGATTCCACACCACTGAATGACAAAAAATACTTGACGAAGCGTCAAGGAATTTACCTCACTGTCGCTGACCGCTGCTGGTCCCTCTGGAACTTCCTCGGTTTGTTGATTGCTGTTCTCATCCGATGCAACGCCCTGCTGTTCCATTTCTAGTTCCTTTCGACGGGCTTTTCGACGGCGTGTTTCTGCCCCAATCAGTGTGCCTAAAACAGGCGGAGGTAGGTGTTCCGCAGCATTTGGGCCACGTTTCTGCACAGGGCAATTCCGGTTCCCCTTGTGACACGCACAGTCCACTTTATAGTTGCTGCTCCAAAACACAAACATAATTCACGTCACTCTCCATTTCTCAACCCTTACACAGAGACATTCAATGCAACTCCTACTAAACATCTCACCATGTGCCAAAGCAAGGACAGCAGGCTACCTTATGGCCTCTATTGTAGAACATGCCAGCAGAACTGGACACAATAGCCGGAAAATGCAATTCAGTAGAAAACGGAGCAAAATGTAGAATGCGAGGAAAGGGCTGGAGGAAGATGTCCAGTCCAGGAGGGCAGTGGAGAGCTCCTGGGCGAGGTGAAGGACTCACCAGATGTTGTACTCATAGTCAAAGGCGATGGTAACCTCTGTGTCCTTGGCAATGGTGGCAACAGCATAGATACACAGGTGGATCATCCCATCAGCAATCACATGACGAACCTTGTTAAACAAAGCAGAGAGAAACTAACATCTCCACCAGTTGCGCTTCTTATTTCCAAGGGGGAAGCCTCCGTCTGCAAAATCTCTCTCATCTATTACATGAATAATTATCTTAAATTGTGCATAGAGAAAAAGCCTGCTTCACCAGTCTCTCTCATCCTGTGCTTTTCCACTTACACTTAGTACTACCTGCTTACCCTAACTACCATTCTGCAGCCAGAGGAAAGCTATTTAAAAAAAAAAAAAAAAAAGGTTACCCTTCAAGAAAAATTCATGTTCCCAAACTTTTTTGATCTCATCTTCCAACTATATATCACCAAATGAGCAAGAAATGCAGAGAATTTATGCCATCTGCAGTATTTTAAGCTTAATATTCATAACAAGAGAATACACTAAACATATGTAAAACATGTATCCATAATTACAGTGACAACGAAGCGAGAATTTACCTCTGCATTTGGAGTGCAGGAACGCCTGATGAACCTGGCATCGTTACCAAAGGTGCGGGCATCAACACACATTTCAACGCCATTAAACTTGGAGTAGAACAGCACAAATGGGTATGGCCTGGAGAAGTAACAAAACACCTCAATCCCAAAATACCCAGTTCCCATGGCATCTATAACAGGTATCCCTCACTTTACTGGAAACAGTGCTTCTATCAGTACTATTGCTCTGAAGGCTTATGCACTTCCACGATCAGTCTAACACTTCTACTTAAGAAGGTTTTCGTCCATAAACAGAGCATCAAGCTGATGTTGCGTACTTGGTTTCACATTTCTGTGGATGGCACAGCCAACAAGGGCCCTGTCAGTGTGCTTTATCCCACAGAGACACTAGTCTCTCTGTGCCACGATGCTCTCATACTAGTCACTTCATAGTACTCTTACTTTTTGAAGAAATGCCCATTGACCTCGAATTGCTGTCGTAACATAACCTTCCCTCGATACTCAATTATAAGGGTATCGAGTGCCAAGTCTCTTGCTGCCCTCAGGATCTTCCGGTGCTTCTGAACCCGAGTCACTCTTCCCAGCTGCAGCTGTAACAAAAACCAGAGCACAATATGAGGACTTAGACCAAAGGCCTAGGCCATCGTTTCATGAAGAGTATTTTACCTACATAAAAAGAAAAATTCATCTAGTAACAGCACCTGGAAATTCTGGCCAGGTGAATGTATCGACAATTGCTGAAATGTTACGGAATAAACAATGATCTTGATAATATTAACTGGAAAAAAAAAACCCACAAAATAATATGTATTCCTTTCCTTTAACGGTAAGCCTCCAATCTATTAGACCAAGTATTTTAAGTCTCGCACCTTGGAGGCATAACCAGACCCATCAGTTGCTGCTAATAGGGAACTGCTCTGCAATTACAGTCACTTCTGCAGCCAGAATAACTTGAATTTCCCCTAAATAGGGGGTTGTCACACATTCAGAGAAAAAACACCATCCTCTGCAGAAGGAAGAGCTTGTAAATTCTACCTAACATGCCAAAGACTTGAGCTGTTGATATCTATTGCCATCCAGAATCTTCTCTTCATCTTCCTGCTCAACTAATGCTGTGGATTTTTTTTTTTTTTTTTTTAAAAGCGAAGAAACATTTTTCAGGTAACTATTGACAGTTTGCTGAATCTTCATCGCGTTCCAGTACACAGATCCAATAAAATAGATTTTCATTTTCACATGAACATGCCCTGACAGTAGGAAACCACAACATTTAAGCACAGACATCCAAGGAAGAAGTGCTTTACTGAATAACGGAGGGACTATTATAAGCACTAAGGCACAGAAAAGACTTCTCCCCAGAGCGAGAAAACTACTTTGTTTTGAGCAGGCTGAACATCTCTGCAAGTGAAAACTAGGGAAATCTGCAAAATTATGTAATGATGGCTGACTGCCTTACCATAAGAGCTGTGCCTGCTTTCCTAAGCATGCTGTTCTTAAGGGGCAGATTCTGATACTTTTCCACAGTGAATTTAGGCAAAGTATTCTTACTTCAGTAATAAGGACCATCATCTATCTAAATTAGAAGTAAAATATAAGATTTGTTAAAAGAAAGCTCCCAGTTTTTCCTGATAAAATTCTGCTCTGCTTAGAAACTGTACTGGGCTGTCTGCTCAAATGGATAAGAGTCACATTAGCTTAAGGAGGGGCTCAATCTGGACAATGACAGAACGATGACTTTCTAAGCTCCCTCGTGAAAAATAAAACTAATGCCTTAAGGCAGCACTCCACCCTGGAAACCAAGTGAAACCCAATGTATTCACTGCGTTGAAAGAATTGAACCACAGACTTTATCCTTCTCTTTTGTAACATTTTTGCACATGCTCTGAATAAACCTCTTTTGGAGGAAGAATACTTTCATTGTTTTAAGATGACATACTGCAGACCTTAGATCAGCCAGTAAAGACAGACCTATTTGTTGACTTTTCTCTCTCAGGTCCAGGATAAAAATAGCTTTATCAAAATATTCACTTGAAACCTATGCAGACGTGAGTAATGGTCGTGCTATTCCAGACCTCCTCTCAGACATACATCCAGTGCTACATCATGCCTACAGGGTACACCTCCAGCCACCATTTTCATAGCATTCTATCCTCAGACAATCGGAAAAACCTGAATGTGCATAGTAGAGACTTCGAACAGCCTTGCAGAAGGTTGTTCATCTCCTCTCTCTCAGGTCCCGACAGGATCTCAGAGCAACTCCCAAGTCCACAGAAGCCCACTGAACTCGCACGAAAGGATCAAGTTATTTCTGGGCCAAGCAGCCACACTCCTAGCCCTGATTTTTGATCATCAACCCCATGACACATGAGTGAACTCTAGAATAAGATGGGCTTGCACTGCCTCGGACAGAAGTAGTTTTCTCTGGCCAAATTATTTTAAGATCAGTGGACATGCTTTACACGATCTAATTGCGGTAACAGAGAATAAACAGGTGGAACTACATTTGTTGGCATGTCTGGCACGAGGAGATAAGGAGGGAACATCTGAAGTTAGCAGATATACAGTGGGACTGAGGCACAGGTGTGAGAAATCAGAAATCTTACCCTATTTCCAGTAGGATCATTTTATTTGTTTCTGTACTACCACTTGTTTTCTGTTTTGATCAGGTCTTTATCTAAGCTGGCCCTAAGCAGGGAGGTTGGACCAGATGACGGCTAGTGGCTCCTTCCAACCTCAATTACTCTACCACTCTATCACGTTTTCTTCGTATCTTTCAGAGATGCGGGTTCACATGGGGCAGCACTCATTCTCACTTCTGGCCCATGACTGACCTTTTACTATTTGCCTGCGTTTGTGCTCACGCTCAAGGGACTGTATGTCTCCAGCTGGATTATTTTCTGTGAACCAGATTATCTTCTCTGACCAGACACGTTACCTAAGAAGGGAAGTGATTTCCCCCCCCCCCCCCCCCTTTTTTTCCCTCTTACTTTTTTTCTCTCTC